ATAACTTCATCAATTATTAGCGTCAACATGAAGGGAGGCAGTAGCAGCATCCTGAATAACACTATCAGATCCCTGGCTGTATCTCCACTACACCTGGCTGTATCTCCACTACACCTGGCTGTATCTCCACTACACCTGGCTGTATCTCCACTACACCTGGCTGTATCTCCACTACACCTGGCTGTATCTCCACTACACCTGGCTGTATCTCCACTACACCTGGCTGTATCTCCACTACACCTGGCTGTATCTCCACTACACCTGGCTGTATCTCCACTACACCTGGCTGTATCTCCACTACACCTGGCTGTATCTCCACTACACCTGGCTGTATCTCCACTACACCTGGCTGTATCTCCACTACACCTGGCTGTATCTCCACTACACCTGGCTGTATCTCCACTACACCTGGCTGTATCTCCACTACACCTGGCTGGAGATACAAAAGGTAACTTTGGATGTCTTCAAAATCTAAAGTTTGTCCATGTTGCCTGCTGATTACGGAACACCTCGCAGGGACCCGCAAGGACCCGCAGGGGAATGATCTATTTGCTTGCGCTCCTTAAAATACAAAATTAGTCTCGGACTATGGTTAGGCCTCTAGTATTGTTGGTAGTTGATGGGCAGGCTATTATGGACTGGTGGTCTTAACGCTCCAGAGAGTAATAAGCAACTTAAGGCCAGCACCAAACACCAGAGCTGTGGGATCCGCAGCATATTTTGCGTAATGTGTAACATAAGGTTTAAGAGACATTAAGGGATTCCACAGTGGAGCGGATAAACAGTACGTCACAAGAAAGGTAGCACAGTCACCGACTTTTCAGTGACGTCACAGTAGACGGAGCTTGAAATTGAAATTGAAATAAGTTTAAGGTAAAATACACACAAAGGGATGAGGTAGCTCAAGCTATTCTCACCCCGTTCAGTACATCGTGTTAGTACATACATAGACACACATCACAAGCAATAAACGTATTACCGAACATTCTGAGAGATAAACATATACATTTCGACGGAGCTTTGATACAATCAGTTGAGGGTTGTGAAGGTCCCCCCCCCCCCAACACTCGGCTGGGGGCGGCTCACACACCAGTTCTTATGACTCGCTACTTCTCACCTTATAGTGCTGGGTGTCACGTCGTGAGGCCCACACACGCACCTACTCTTATTTATGACTTACTGTTCCTCTCCTCATGGTAGGAGTAAGGCAAGTAAGGCAGGCCACTCACTCACTAATCATTTAATTGTCGGGGGACAGGAAGCCAGAGTGCTTCATACACGTTTTGGCTTGTAGGTTTTGGTTTTGTTATCCCTGCAACCTCCATGAAAGTGTGGAGAGGAATCTCAAATGAGTGGCGAGTACCCTATTATAGATCTGATTTAAGAATGTTATACATCTATTTCACTCTAGTGCTACATAGCCTTCCCGGCTTATCTTGAGATGATTTCGGGGCTTAGCGTCCCCGCGGCCCTGTCCTCGACCAGGCCTCCTTTTTGTTACACACACACCCAGGAAGCAGCTGTCTAACTCCCAGGTACCTATTTACTAGGTACCTGGTAGTTACAGCTGGGAGAACAGGAGCATCGGGGTGAAAGAAACTCTGCCCATTTGTTTCCACCTCCACCGGGGATCGAACCCGGAACATCAGGACTACGAATCCAAAGCGCTGTCCACTCAGCTGTCAGGCCCCTTTGCTGTGATGGGAAGGCTTGGTGCATTCTTTTGATAATTATTTGCTATTTAAATCTACGTGATGTGCTTACCTAATTGTACTCAACTAGTTATGCTTGCGGAGGTTGAGCTCTGGCTCTTTGGTCCCGCCTCTCAACTGTCAATCAACTTGTGTACAGATTCCTGATGTGCTTACCTATCAGTGACTACGAGGAATTGAGGTCTAGTACCTGGATGGGGTTCTGGGAGTTCTCCCCAAGCCCGACTCGAGGCCAGGCTTGACTTGTGAGAGTTTGGTCCACCAGGCTGTTGCTTGGAGCGGCCCGCAAGCCCACATATCCACCACAGCCCGGTTGTTATGGCAATATTTCTTATGCTCGCTGGGAGGGTGTTGAACAGCCGCGGACCTCTGATGTTCATACAGTGTTCTCTGATTGTGCTTATGGCACCTCTGCTCTTTACTGGTTCTATTCAGCATTTTCTTCCATATCGTTCACTCCAGTATGTTGTTATTTTACTGTGCAGATTTGGGACCTGGCCCTCCAGTATCTTCCATGTGTATATTATTTGATATCTCTCTCGTCTCCTTTCTAGAGAGTAAATTTGGAGAGCTTTGAGACGATCCCAATAATTTAGATGTTTTATCGCGTCTATGCGTGCCGTATATGTTCTCTGTATTCCCTCTATTTCAGCACTCTCTCCTGCTCTGAAGGGGGAAGTGAGTACTGAGCAGTACTCGAGACGGGACAACACAAGTGATTTGAAGAGTACAACCACTGTGATGGGATCCCTGGATTTGAAATTCGTCGTAATCCATCCTATAATTTTTTTGGCTGACGCAATATTTGCTTGGTTATGCTTCCTAAACGTTAGGTCGTCAGACAACATTGTTCCCAAATCCTTTACATGCTGTTTTCTTACTATGGGCGCATTTGACTGTTTTGTACCCTGTATTATGTTTAAGGTCCTCATTTTTACCGTACCCGAGTACCTTGAATTTATAACTTTTAACATCATGTTATTTTCTTCTGCCCAATCGAAAACTTTATTAGTTCCTAATCTCCCGCCTACTACTCTTGCTGTACCTGTTGCTACTAGTTAACTATCCTGTCGTTCGAAATTTGACCTTAAAGTTGTGGATAAAGGTAGCTTCCACTACTTTAGTGCCTTCCACTTGTTGCGGTGGTGGCAGGGTTAGGGTGCTAGTATTTCAGTCCATCAGTGCAGTGTGCTAGTATTTCAGTACATCGGTGCAGGGTGCTAGTATTTCAGTACATCAGTGCAGGGTGCTAGTATTTCAGTACATCAGTGCAGGGTGCTAGTATTTCAGTACATCAGTGCAGGGTGCTAGTATTTCAGTACATCAGTGCAGGGTGCTAGTATTTCAGTACATCAGTGCAGGGTGCTAGTATTTCAGTCCATCAGTGCAGTGTGCTAGTATTTCAGTACATCAGTGCAGTGTGCTAGTATTTCAGTACATCGGTGCTGGGTGCTAGTATTTCAGTACATCAGTGCAGGGTGCTAGTATTCCAGTACATCAGTGCAGGGTGCTAGTATTTCAGTACATCAGTGCAGGGTGCTAGTATTTCAGTACATCAGTGCAGGGTGCTAGTATTTCAGTACATCGGTGCTGGGTGCTAGTATTTCAGTACATCAGTGCAGGGTGCTAGTATTTCAGTCCATCAGTGCAGTGTGCACGTATTTCAATACATCGGTGCAGGGTGCTAGTATTTCAGTACATCGGTGCAGGGTGCTAGTATTTCAGTACATCAGTGCAGGGTGCTAGTATTTCAGTACATCAGTGCAGGGTGCTAGTATTTCAGTACATCGGTGCAGGGTGCTAATATTTCAGTACATCAGTGCAGGGGTGCTAGTACATCAGTGCAGGGTGCTAGTATTTCAGTACATCGGTGCAGGGTGCTAGTATTTCAGTACATCAGTGTGGTGTGTTAGTATTTCAGTACATCAGTGCTGGGTGCTAATATTTCAGTACATCAGTGTGGTGTGCTAGTATTTCAGTACATCAGTGTGGTGTGCTAGTATTTCAGTACATCAGTGTGGTGTGCTAGTATTTCAGTACATCAGTGCAGTGTGCTAGTATTTCAGTACATCAGTATAGGGTGCTAGTATTTCAGTACATCAGTGCAGGGTGCTAGTATTTCAGTACATCAGTGCAGGGTGCTAGTATTTCAGTACATCAGTGCAGGGTGCTAGTATTTCAGTACATCAGTGCAGGGTGCTAGTATTTCAGTACATCAGTGCAGGGTGCTAGTATTTCAGTACATCAGTGCAGGGTGCTAGTATTTCAGTACATCAGTGCAGGGTGCTAGTATTTCAGTACATCAGTGCAGGGTGCTAGTATTTCAGTACATCAGTGCAGGGTGCTAGTATTTCAGTACATCAGTGCAGGGTGCTAGTATTTCAGTACATCAGTGCAGGGTGCTAGTATTTCAGTACATCAGTGCAGGGTGCTAGTATTTCAGTACATCAGTGCAGGGTGCTAGTATTTCAGTACATCAGTGCAGGGTGCTAGTATTTCAGTACATCAGTGCAGGGGTGCTAGTATTTCAGTACATCAGTGCAGGGTGCTAGTATTTCAGTACATCAGTGCAGGGTGCTAGTATTTCAGTACATCAGTGCAGGGTGCTAGTATTTCAGTACATCAGTGCAGGGTGCTAGTATTTCAGTACATCAGTGCAGGGTGCTAGTATTTCAGTACATCAGTGCAGGGTGCTAGTATTTCAGTACATCAGTGCAGGGTGCTAGTATTTCAGTACATCGGTGCAGGGTGCTAGTTTTTCAGTGCAGTGTGCTAGTATTCCAGTACATCAGTGCAGTGTGCTAGTATTCCAGTACATCAGTGCAGTGTGCTAGTACTCCAGTACATCAGTGCAGTGTGCTAGTATTCCAGTGCATCAGTGCAGTGTGCTAGTACTCCAGTACATCAGTGCAGTGTGCTAGTATTCCAGTACATCAGTGCAGTGTGCTAGTACTCCAGTACATCAGTGCAGTGTGCTAGTATTCCAGTACATCAGTGCAGTGTGCTAGTACTCCAGTACATCAGTGCAGTGTGCTAGTATTTCAGTACATCAGTGCAGGTGTGCTAGTATTTCAGTACATCAGTGTAATGTGCTAGTATTTCAGTGCAGGGTGCTAGTATATGAAAGGTATATCTTGGACTGTAGCATGCTGATAGATCGAATAGCTTGGATTGTAGTACGTTGTTTGATGAAATAGCATAGAGCCTGTAGCAAGCTGGACTGTAGCAAGCTGATAGATTAAATTGCTTGTATAGATTTTACTTTATCTTTAATTGGAACTGTTACAGTGAAGGTGGTGGTGGTGTGAGAGGAATGATGCGGCGGCTGCGGGCGGTGGTGTGGGTGTTGATGGGCCTGGCGGTGTTCACCTGCATCGCCTCCGTCAGATGGTTCATCCACTCGCCCTCCTTTGACGACCATAGGCTGCCTTACACTTCCGTCATTCCGGGTGAGGATTGTTAGGTGTCACATTTGCTCTATATATTCTGTATTACAAAATAAATGTCAATATGTAACTAAGTTACTGGACTGCAGTGATCTGCCAGGAGTTACAATACCAGTGTTATGTGGATCTTTTGAGTGTTTACTGGACTCTATACATAGTCTCCCCGGCTTGGCGCCTTGTTTTTATAATTACTTTACGTTAGTAAGTGGACAGTAATACGCCGAATGAAGGTAAGGTTCTTTATCTCCTATCACAATGATTTTGATTTTGTTCATTTATTATGCACCCCCCATTTTCCCGTGGGCAGTATTGGAAAAGGTTACAGAGGTACATGGTGAGCTCAGAAATTTAAACCCAAATTTTATTCAGCTAAGTAAGTCTGTGAAGCTAGTTACTCAGTTTAATATATGTGCCAATAATCTTTTATAGCACAAGTGGTTCAGCAAATGGACCACAACAGTCTGTAGAGCCGAGCAATTACATCTGTGGTTAACCAGTCAGTTATTAATCATTCCTCTCTCCCCACACCAGTCGAAAAGACAACTGTGGAAAGTTTAGTCATAGTAAGAACTACCTACAGTAAGCAAACTTAGGATATTTGACTAAGATTTATGATTGAGTGATGTATGTTGGAATTGAGTACTACAGATGTTGGGTGTAGCATGTTTGGAGCAGATGCCCTTTTGTTTAGGATCTTGTAAATAGTAAGTTATGTACCTTATAATTGTTTTGTTGTTGTTGACAATAAACCATGTGGATGAAGATTGTTTCTCTTCTGCCTTCAAACGTAACAGTGGCGATGAGGATTATTAAACACCTCAGGCAGAGTGCCTGGGTACGAGACGAGGTGTGAGGATCAGGAGAGAGCAGGGTACGTCGTGTGGACGGGTGGACGCTTGGCATACAACAGTCGAGTTGTGCAACCCACCGTGGCCATGGCTACCCCGCTCATTTCAATGGAGCCGTTTAACACTACCAAGATCTCATTGGACCTTCCAGGCTTGACTTGGACCAAGAAGGGTGCCTCTTTAGTACGAAAATATCCTAAGGAAACTACTCCAAGCTTGTACTAAAGAGGCACCCTTCTTGAGCCCGGATGGGCACATGTATAAGCAAGTAGATGGGGTCGCCATGGGTTCTCCCCTAGGTGTCCTGTTTGCAAACTTCTACATGGGTACCATCGAGCAAAAAGTCTTAGTTGACATGAACTTGAAACCGGCCTTATACTGCAGGTATGTTGACGACATTTTTACACAGGTACCTGATGTCAGACATCTGCAGGAGCTGAAGGAGGCATTTGAGCAGAGTTCCGTGCTGCGTTTCACTTACGAGATGGAAAAGGATGGGAAGCTGCCCTTTCTAGATGTAACAGTCATGGAAAAGAGCGGAGGTTTCCACACTGCAGTCTACACTAAGGAAACGAACATAGGAATGTGCCTAAATGCCAACAGCGACTGCCCAGACAGGTACAAGAGAAGTGTTGTTAACGCATATGTCGACCGTGCTCTAAGCCACAGCTCAGAATGGAAGCAAGTCGACGAAGAACTCTGTAGGGTAAGGCAGGTCCTAGTCAACAACGGCTTTTCCAATGGTTTCGTCGAAGACATCATAAGAAGGAAAGTGAAACGCCATGCAACCTCTGAAGAGACAACTAACACAACACCTATACCCACTATTAGACTATTTTACAGGAACTTCTTTTCCACAGCTCATAAAACAGAGGAAAGGGTCCTGAAAGATATTGTTAATAGAAACGTTATCCCTACAGACAAAAATCACGAGGATACAACTGACGATTTACTATAAAACCAGAAAAACGGCCAGCCTACTCATGAGAAACTCTCCAGACACAAAGCAGAACGCTTTAAAAGAGACCAACGTCGTCTATGCCTTCAAATGCCCACTTGGGGACTGTAAGCTCCAAAAAAACCCAGTATATAGGCAAGACAACAACATCTCTTTCTAGGCGTTTAACGATGCATAAACAACAGGGCTCCATTAAGGAACATATAATCTCTTCCCACAACCAAACCATCGCCAGAGAAATCCTAGTAAACAACACAGAAATCATCGATAGATACAGCGATAGCAGGCGGCTTGACGTTTGCGAGGCACTACACATTAAGAAGTCAACACCAGCAATCAACAGCCAATTAATGCACAACTATATTCTACCCACCTCAAGACTCCGCTCCAATATAGAAGCATCAAGAAATATGGACCAATAGGCTTTCTACAATCACTTCCATTTCAATACCCATTGTTTCGTGTTCTGTCTTGTGTTGATGAAATTAATACCCTATTAATGCCACCTCTTGTTCTGTCTTGTGTTGATGAAATTAATACCCTATTGATGCCACCTCACCCCATCCACCTCACTCAAATGTAGATATAAACAAAATTGGAGATGTGTAAGTTCTATTCAGTTGTGTATTTGTAAACTAAAGTCTTTGAAAATGTAATAAGTTTTACGAAACGCGCTCGTGTCGCGTCAGAATAGAAATAAAAATGAATTTTGGAGAATTGATTTTTGAATTACCTCCAACAGTGAAAAGAAATGTACGAAAGATTGAGAAAATTCGTGTTAGAATTATTAATCTTACTTTTTCGGTCATATTTAATAATATATATATATATTTATATATATATATATATATATATATATATATATATATATATATATATATATATATATATGTGTGTGTATATCACGAAAATAAACACGTGATTAAAAATGTGACAATGTCAGACCACGGAGGAAAAATGAAACAGGAATTTCCTTAAGTACTTTCGTATATTAATACATCTTCAGAAGGACTCCTTCTGAAGATGTATTAATATACGAAAGTACTTAAGGAAATTCCTGTTTCATTTTTCTTCCGTGGTCTGACATTATTATTTATATTTATATATATATATGACATAGACAGTGTCAGACTATGGAGGAAAATTGAAACAGGAATTTCCCTAAGTACTTTCGTGTATTAATACATCTTCAGAAGGAGTGGTTTTACAGGTCAAGTATTGGACATAAATAGGCAGAAGAGATAGGTGGAGTTGACTTTCTGATGTTTGTGCCCTAGGCAGTTGCCTAGTGCTACTATAATGGTAGCACTGGTCCCGCTGTATGTAAAAGTTATATACAGTAAAGTACTGTATACAGTATTATTGCACTGGATGTATGTGCTACTGCACTTAAATAGCATAATTATGTACCATGTTTTGTTCTGATCTACAGAACCAATACAGAATCTAATTGTATTAGTTAAGTTATATATACTAAAATATTATATCTCTTAGCCTCTGCAGAAATGCTCCCTTTGTCTCATGTGGCACTTAGGATGAAGCAGCGTAAACATAATGTAGAGAGGATGTGTCCAGCAGACTTTTGGCGGGAAGCTGCTGGTTCTGGGGTCTCTGATGTGGAAGACCCCATTACGGAGGAGTTAGTGGCTAACCCAAAAATGCTCAATAACCTTATTGTTGATGACAAAAATCATATATTATACTGCTATGTCCCTAAGGTAGGTAAGGTATATTGCATGATAAACAAATTTATTTTGTACATTTCTTTTGTGCTTATATACACTGCAATGTATTCTGTATGCAGCACAGTATACAGTACATTGTATACTGTATGCAGTACAGTATTGTTCAATTCTCTTAAAAAAAAAACTCAACAGTGAATATTAAAGAATATTTTAAATTATATGTTAAAAATAGATGTTTGCATTATTTATTAATATTGATAATTATGTTGGTTTGCAGGTGGCATGTACAAACTGGAAGAGGATCCTATTGATGCTGATAGGTGGAACAAACTTTACAGAACCATTTTCCATTCCTGCTGACAGTGTTCACCGTAAGAATGTTTTCACAAAACTTGGAGATTTAGAGGTAAATTTTAATATGCATTTAATTTTATGTACCATATTAGAGTATAAATAGTATAAATGTTGTAATTTATACCTTTCTGTTTCATGACACAGCTATTACAGGTATATGTCTCATGAACCTGGGTGCTTCTTTTTTTTTTTTTATAAATCTGAACACTGTACAATTTTTTGTAATTCCAGTCTTATAACCACCAATACTGAAACCTACAATATAAGCTCTCTGCTGTTATTTTTAGCAAGATATTATTAGGTTCTTTGAACAAATTCTTGTAACAAATACTTTGTGGTTAACCCTTAAACTGCACAACACATCATATGATGTGTTGAGTAACATACGCAAAATTGAGCATCACATCATATGATGTGTTGGAGTACTATTCAAGATTTAAACAGCCTGTGGATACACGGGGTTCACCTCGCCTTCATCAGGGCTCTTGTAAACAGACGCCATTTTTTTTAAATTCGTGGGCCACATTCCCGGGTGTGAGGGCCTCAGTACTGAGTGAGCCACCAAGGCTGGTGCGCACAGCATGAGCTCACAGCACTGCTGTTCAGTTTGTGACCATAGCATCGCCTAAAAATGTCATAATATATATGTACATGCTATTATTTAGCGATGATAGTATTACAGAAGACCCTTGACTGATAAAAATGACCAGGAATCTGATAATAGCAGGATTATTATGATAATTAGTGCTGTAGTGGGTGGTGTAATCTTGGTGGGGATGGAGGTAGCATTGTCTGCTAACTCTGTATGACCACCTTTTTACTGTCTGGACTCACTATACCAGCTTAGTTGTTCACTATGGTGAACGAAACATGCAGATATTTATATATAACGTCTGTATATAGTGAATAAAACCAAAAACAGTATGATGGGAGGAGAATGTTGGTGAGTCAGGTGAGGTGAGGGAGGGAGGGAGGAAGTGACAGCCAGTGGTAGGCTGCCACTGGCTGCCACTGCCACTGCCACTCAGCATACCAACTTAGTGGTTCGTTATGGTGAATACAAATGTAGATATTTGTATATAACGTGTATCTATAGTGTAATAACAGCAAAAGGAGTGTTGGGAGAAGCCATTTTGGTAAGGGAGGTGGCAACATCTGCATGATTTGTCATGCTGGGTAGGGGTGGCCTCTATGCTCTTTGGGCACTATACCAGCTTAGATGAACAGTTATGGTGAACAAAACATGTACATACTTATATATAACGTCTGTATATAGTGAATAAAAGCAAAAACAGTATGGTGGGAAGAGGATGTGGGCGAGTGAGGAGTCATTGAGGGAGGGAATGGCAGCGGGAGGCTGACTGGCAGATGTGGTTACCTTACCTTGAGGTAAGTCCGGGCCAGGAGGCCCGGTCGTCGACCAGGCCTCCTGGTTGCTGGACTGGTCAACCAGGCTGTTGGATGCGGCTGCTCTCAGCCTGACATACGAATCACAGGCTGGTTGATCAGGTGAGCCACACCTCGTTGCTTTTTGACTTGCAATATCAACTTAGTAGTTCATTATGGTGAACAAAACATGCAGATACTTATATATAACCTGTGTATATAGTGTAATAACCGACACAGTATTTGCTTATTGTTTTTATGAACACAATAATTGAATCAATACTATGCACACCATGATTTTGAGTACAGCAATGATTCACACATTTTATTTTTGTATTTTTTTTTTTTTTTTGAGATATATACAAGAGTTGTTACATTCTTGTACAGCCACTAGTACGCGTAGCGTTTCGGGCAAGTCCCTGGAATACGATCCCCACCGCGAAGAATCGTTGTTACAACCAAGTACACATTTTACTGTTGCGTTAAACAGAGGCTACAATTATGGATTTGCGCCCAGTAAATCCTCCCCGGCCAGGATACGAACCCATGACAAAGCGCTCACGGAACACCAGGCGAGTGTCTTACCACTACACCACGGAGACTGTATATATTTATAATTAGACTTATTATATAAATATATCATACTACACACTATTGAATAATTTTACAGCAAAAAAACAAAGAAAAATCAATCAGAGACATTGAAATAATTAGGTAATTATATCTTTGTGGCCACTCCTGCCTGACAGCTGGAGCTGAGCAGACCACCTTGGACGCATGCTTCCATTCCCTTCTACAAATGGTATGAACATGATTTTTCATGCTCATACTACACCAGCATCTCCCATATATATAAAAGTGTGACACTACAACATCTTCATTCATCCCTCAAGCTGTTTCTCTTCTCCTCAAGTAGTCATTGCGCCAGCCACTTTTGTTTTGTGGCTTCTGATCTCGACCTTTTTTGTCATTTACATTCCCAAGGGATTTAAACTTGTGAGATTATCCCTTTTTAGAGGTGAATAGGTTACAAGAAACCTCAGTCAGGAAAGGACTGAACTAGCTCCAAACAAATGCTGAGGGCAGATTATACTTTAATGACTGACCAGGGGCCAGATTCACGAAGGTACTTACGAAGGTTTTCCTTCTTAGTGCCTTCGTGGCGGCTACGTTGGTATTCAGGTAGCTACACTAAGTCGAAAAACCTTCGTAAGTTTGGTCCGGGATATAAGTGTGGTTTCGACCACTCATAGCTTTACGTAAACTGGATATAACTAAATTTTTCTCTACTACATAACACTGGGATCGATTTTAAGATTTTGGTACATAAACAAAAGATTATAAAAATTGAATCTCGTGAAGAGGAATCCTTCGTGTTAGTTATATATGCATTCTCTGCTTGAAACTTTGAGTAAATATGTCTTTTATGATATTAGAATTAGTTTTATAATAGCAAGATATTATGCCCATAGTTATTAAGTAAATAAACACTGGTGAACATGAAATATGAGAGGTGATGAGCTCTGCCTGATGGGATCATTTACTATCACCAAATGCCCCTGTTCACCTAGTAGTAAGGGTGTACCTTAGCTATACATACCCATTTCTAATTTATTTAGTTTGGCTTTATTTTGAAATTAAATCTGGGTGAGACATAAAATAAAAATATGCTGCACAAATGATGTTAGGTAAGGAGAAGGGTAAAAATGTCAAAAACTTTATTCATTGAATACTTAAAGCTATAATTATGACTATGGAATATTAAAAAAGAGAGAGGGAAGTAGGGGTCCAAGATCTCTTCCTGTTATACAATTTGGGTGTGGAACAAGTAATTATCAAAAAGAAGGCACCATGCCGGGAAGGCTATGTTGCAGTAAGGCAGTGAGGTGAGGCAGCTACTTATTTGAGAAATGCTTATTCTATTTACCTTATAAGCTGAGGCAACTTATTTTATTTGAGAAATACTCAGCTGATTCCTCTACATTTAACATGAAACAAATTTGTGTCCAAGACCTCTTCCTGTTACACAGTTTGGCTGTGTGACCAAACTAGAAGTGCTCTACAAATCAAGGGACCCAGAATGTGGAATGACCTCCCGAATCATGTCAAAGGCTGTACCTCTCTCAACCAGTTTGAGTAAAACCAAGTACTGCCTAATTAACTCCATGTAACCTAACTTACCCCCTAAATGTCAACCCATGTCTTGCTATTTTTTAAACAATGCAGTTCACCAACATGTACAATTGCTGATTTCTGCTGTTACCTCCCTTTTTTTATTTTTTATTCCTTCTTTCAACACAATTTATACCTGATCCCGATTACTATTAAGTTTTAGTCTAAGTGATTTTCCCCCTCACACCTTGCCCACAATGCTATGAGTATTAGTGGCTTTAGGTATTGTATGTACTAGCTCTGTCTATAAATCCAACATTGTAAATCAACTGTATGTACTTTTCCTGAATAAAATTTATTTATTATTATTTATTTATAATCAGTAAGTATTAAAAGAAGGCACCAAGCTGGGAAGGCTATGTAGCACCATTGTGTGTTACAATAAACCAAATTGTTTTTAACAAATAATGCACCTGTATGGTAAAACAAATCCGGTCAGCTGTAAAAATATTGATGCAGTTATTTAAATAAAAAATATAATGAAAGAAATATTACTAGTTTATTTTTATCCTATCTTTTTGTACTGTACAGTATATCCAAGGAAGTGAAAAATTGAGACATAATGCACAATTTAATGAATGATTAAAAAATGATTAGCATGGATTAGCCGTTCAAAAGAAATATGATTATTACATATCAACATGAGATCTTAATGATCCATGGTTAACATGATTTAATAAGGATAATACAGTATTTGTAATAATACAAACTATAATTTAAAATCTTTATTACTGATTTTTTTTATTAAGAAGATTAGGTATACACAGCAATGTGCTGCTACCCTATTATATATGGAATATTACACAGTGTAGATAAAAAACTAGCTATAAGTTTATCTAATACTCCCATCTCACAGGATGGTTAGACATACATGGAATCAATTTAGAAAATACCAGCCTCAATACAAAAAACAAATCAACTCTGACTAAACAACTCTTTGCAATTTTCGCAAGAGGTAAGCACTGAATCATGGAAACATTATATTATAATTACTCTTACCAGTTTCTACAAGACTCCTCTCAAACAATGTATTTTTTAACATGTTTAGGTACACACAGCAATGTGCTGCTTCGCTATTCTGTATGAAGGACCACACTGTAGATAAATAACCAGCTACAAGCTCACCCAACATCCTCACCTCACAGGATGGCCAGTCATACATGGAATCAGGAGAGAACAAAATACTTAATGCTGATCTATTAGCCTCCACTGGCAAAATCTGGGTGCAGCACAAGAATATCTTCCAATATTCCTGAGTGTATGAAGTAATTACAGAGCTCAAAGTACCTCATACCATTTGGTATGAAGTCACTGATAACAGGGCAATCACAGATATAGTGTTGGAGAGTATGTTCTCTCAAGTAGGACTGAAAACAAATGTTTTTTCCACCAAGAGGGTTATAAACCCATGGAACCGCCTACCCGCTGAAGCCGTAAATGCCAAATTCCAGCTAAAAAATATCAAGACAATTGGCGGTCCCTTTAACAAGCCGC